AAATCAGTTATGTCCAGGGGGACAACAAAAGAAGTGCAGCATTTGATTTAAGAAGCTGTGCAGTGATATTTGGTCTGACTAGCAAATCCACAGTGGGCATGGGAAGCCAAGATTCAATTTTAGAAGTTCCATAGTAATATTTGAGTCTGAAATGCTTTGGATAATTTGGATAATGCCTAAGTAAGTATATGTAAGGAGGAATACCAAACAGCACTTGTTTGTTTTGTTGTGGAATTGTGGTAATCCTCTTCATTTTCCCACAGAAATCTCCTAATTTATTGTGTTTCTTTCCTTAGCTAAAACCAAGAATTCTTTTGGGTAGGACTGACTTGTGTATGATGACTTACTGTATTTCATGGATTCACCAGCTTCCTCTTTCTCTAACAGATAGATGCATGTCTTTAAATTATCAATCAATTGAAAATTTAACTTATCAAGCAATTGATAATTTAAATTATCAACAATGCAGACACTGGTGTTCCAGATATTATGGATAAAATGTGAAAAATGACTATTTGAATTTTTGTTGCTAAGCTGTCAACTGCAGAAAAGAAGTAATAATGGTGGGTGACCTCACCCTGTCTGTAGGAACCTGGTGCCTTTGTTACCAAATTTCCTTTACAGTTTTAATAGTGTGGAAGCTTCAGGCAAACTTTCTGCATGAAGGTTGTCACCTCTTCATTTTGGTTCCCATTTGCTGAGCTGTACCTTCTATGTGATGAGTAGAAGGCATCATTAATTGGACAGGCACTCCTTTAATTTTATTGTTTGTGACCAATTTCAGATCCAATTACAGACCCAGTAAGAGGTGATGCATTTTTACAGAATTGCACCTGGCCCTTGTACTGAGATTTGCCAGGGTGAAGTGGTAGTCCTGCAAAGGCCAGCATGGATAGAAATACAGCACACAGTTATGGGTTATGCTACAATTCTCCATAGTGGCTACTCAAATGAACTAAATTAAATTGTAATTAACTGCAGTTAACTGAAAAACTGCCTGTGTAAAATAAAGTTTGTTTCATTAAAAGCTTCAGCTTTTGATCATATATTCCTAGATCACAATTTTTCTGTTACTTTGTCAGACCTATTTGTTCTTGACATTAACAGAGTTATATTTCTTTTACTTCCTTCTCAGCAAGCAAATTTACCTAGGCAATAATTCATATTTCAATTTAGTGAATAACAGAGTGCATTTTGAGAAACACTGCCTTTTAAGAATAGCATCTGATCCAATAAACCAAATTATATAATAATAAAGTATGTCACTGATGTAAACAAATACCAGATGGGTTGTAAAACATTCAATTTTAGATCAGTGCAAATAGACTGAGATACACACTGCTGTAGTGTATTGTCATCACTAGTAAAGCTCAAAAAGGGATTCCCACTGCATGCCTGAATCCTGGAGGGTTCCACCTTCATGTTTGTTTTTCTCTTGCTTTAAGTCTCACTCTCTTTAGCCCCACTTGCTCCCCATTATTGCACTTTCAGACTCAGTGCTTGGCTGCTTTTCAAAGTGTGACAACACAAGCCAGCAAGGTTTTATCGATGAAAATCAGAAGGTGTTCCTAGAGAAAGTGTTCCCAGGGAAGGGGTGTGGGCCTGTTGAGGTGTGGGCTCTGCAGAGTCTAGGATGTTGCTTTCTGTATTTTGGGAAGTGGGAGTGGGCTCATCTCTCACATTATTTTCCCACCCTGGGATGGATGTTACTACCTGTAGCAGACACAGCTTCCTCCAGGATGGTTGGACATGCTGGCAGTTGGAATGAATGTTTTACTCTTCAAATATGAATGCTTTCACAGTAAGACTCTTTAAGTTGTGGTCAGTTTGAGATAAAGTTTAAAGTGTGTTTCCATTATTGATTGAGTTGTAGGTCTTTTTCCACACAGTTAAATTCCAGAGGCTGTTGTTCTGTATTTAAGATATCTGCAGGTACTTCTGTAATAAAGTTTTCTAATTGTGTGACATCAATAATGTATGTTTCTAATCATTGACATTTTATCTTATCTTTAGATACATGGTCTAGTGGTGGACTTGGCAGTGTGAGTTTTTTGGTTGATCTTAAAGGTCATTTCCAACCTAAACAATTCTATGATCTGCTTATATATCATATTCTGCGCTAGGTCAAATTTATAATAACATAGAAATTTAAATTAGCATATGTCATTTAGCATTCTATCAGCAGGGGAAGTTAAGTATTGTATTTGGAGGATATCCAAATATCATTTGGATTTTTTGTGGCTTTATGTGGTTTTCTACATATGCAACCTGGATCTTCGTTTTCTTTGTTCATGTGATAAATCGGAGGTTTCTTAGTTCACAGAAACAGCTTTAGACCTTTTAAACCCTGCTTAATACTTGAACCTAAGGGCAGAAAATATAGGGGCAGATTTTTTGAAAAAACTTGACTTCAGGTGGTTCTCTTTACTCCAGATGGGATTTTGATAAAATCTGAACAAGAGAGTGTATTATTCCCAAAATCCAGAATGAAGGTTCATGAAACATTCTTCAAAATGTTTGTTCGAAATACTTCAGTTTACAAAAAATAGTTAAATAACACAATACAGGCAGATTTTCAGCAGATCTACATGTACCATGTGTGAATTATGACCAATGATGGCTCACTCTTTATTATTAGCTAACAAATGCAGGTTGGATTATAGAAACAGAAACACTTTCTCCTTCAAAATGTAGAGCTGGATTTTACTGGTAGAGAGGAAATTCAGTCAGGATAATTTAGCTAAGAAAGGTTTGTTTTCTTCTTATGAGTACTAAGCTTTTATTTGTGGATCTATCAGCCTATTTGACATTGCCAGGGATGCCAAATTTGAGTTATCTTAGGTGCTGTAAAAAGCACAGAATGTGCCCATTTTAGCTGCCTGTTCGGGTAGAATTTACTTGTTTAAAAAATACTGAACTGGGGTAGGGTGAGTTTAAGCATTCTTTAGGTGTTTTATGTATTAAAAAGTATAGTTAATTTATATAGATGAATTTCTGGCTGCAGGTTTCTATTCTCCTTGTTGTTCTTCTAAAGTGAACAGAAAACCACTTCAGGTCTGGAGATTCAGATTTTCTGTTTTCCCTGTGAGGCTTCTGAGTCTGACATAACTTCTTTGTCAATACTTAATTAACACAGAGTTTTTTTGGTACATACCTTCAATTTTTAAGTGTATTTACTGAAATATTATGAAAAGCTTTGCACAAAGTATAGACACAGTACACACATGTACCAGAGGCATGCAGATATGCCTAATCTTGATTGCATCCAGAAGTTTTCTTTCTAGAAGCAAACACCTTCCAGCTGTGGGTATGAATTAGAATTGTGTTTCAGAAAACCAATACCTTATTTACAAGAAGTATAGTTTCTTGATTTCTTCTCCTGGGAATTAGTTTAAATAAGAAAAACACCTGTCATCTCGTCTGACAGCTGATGACAGCGTTAAGATCACTGAGTGACTAAGATGACAAGCTATCCATACACATCAACACATCAGGCTTTTATCACTGTCTTGGGCATGCAAGAAACTTGTATTAAGTGGTCTTTAACAAGGACTCATCCTGTTTGTCAGTTCTGTGACATTATTTTTATGAAGGAAGGGGTAATGACCCATGTCAGCTGAAGATGAGGAGATTGCAGTAGGTATTGCCTGTCTGTGTTCCATGAAGCTTGTCTGCAGAGATGGAAACAGATCAGAGGGCATGTTTTTTCATCAGAATTCCTGATGGGGATTAGGCAAGTTTATATGAAAATTCAAACATTGCTAGTCAGAAACTGATTGTTCAGACTTAGGAAAAAAATTACTCATGAAGAAACACAGATTTTATTTTTTTTTTTCCCTTAGATAAGGTGAATTATTGTAGTTTTTATCACTGTCATGTTTAACAACTATAACTTTACAACCATTCTCTATTGAATGGGGAAACTACTAAAAGCACTGTGGAAGCTTTCCTTCAGTGTGAAACTTGCCTTTCATGTATTCAAAAGTTTAGGGAAGTTCACCACTTTGTTTCAGTAAAGAAACATTATATTCTCTAATAGTCTTCAATATCTCCTTCAGAAAAGATCTATGATCTATTCTTCATTAACTGGTAAAGTAAATGGAACTGGAATGTGTTGTGTTGTCTTTCTTAAACATTTCATCCAGAAGATCTTGGCAAAAAGTGTTTTCTTATAGTGCCCTGCACTATATTTTCCCTTATATTTTTCCAGGACAAGTTAACAGTAAACTGCCCTATTCCAGCTTCTGTATACAGCTAATGCTGAACTCCAAATTCTCCTATGGCACATTCCTGTGTTAAGGTTGGAGAATATTAAAAATCCCTACATTTTCCCAGAATTTTCCAGGGGATTTAGGGTCTTCCTAAAGAAATATTAAATACTAAAGGATTAGAATTAATTGAAACATTATAATTAGATTCCAGCCCCAAATCTAGATTTGTACTTTTCACTTATGTGCTCAGGTGAAGGACAGGCTGATCTTTAGGAAAAAAAAAATGGACAGCCTGAGTTTATCACTAGAAAAACAGCCACAGAAATATTACTTTCTGTGATTTTTCTCATGCCTCCATGGAGAGACTTGGGCAGAAGCTGCGAATGCAGTTTCTTGCTACTCCTTTTTTCATGCATGAATCTTGACCATATGCTCTGAGTGGGTTTGAAATCACTTAGATTTGATTTTTTGCTTATGTTTGTTGTTATGCAGTAATTCATAACACTGAAAACAGGTTTTAAAGAAAACAGTGAAGTAGGTAATTAGTGGAGAAATATTTCAAAACTGTATTTTTAATATGTTGCTTAATCTATATGGTGACTAGCATATTTGTTTGGTTTTTAATGCATTCTCATTGTTTACCCATATTTTCCTCATCATTTCATGTTGCCAATATTTGGTCAATGTTACCGTTTTGCATTTAAGGAAATTTTGATGAGATTTTAAATGTTACATATTGTTATATTTTTCTGGTTTTATTAATATAAAAATTTCTTTTTTTCCCTCTAGAAAGGTCCTAAAGGAAATCTCTGTTGGAAACCTAAAGCCTAATGAAACAGTTGAAGCAAATCTGGAAGCACAGCTACTCTCCAAATTAGACCATCCAGCCATTGTCAAATTTTATGCAAGCTTTGTGGAGCGAGATAGTTTCTGCATTATCACTGAGTATTGTGAGGTGAGACTGAAGAAATTTGAAAAAATGTGTGTATTAAAATAGGGACTTCTAAGAAGCTATTTTATAAAATGTTTTAGTTTGAATTTTAGTCTTTATTTGTTGCTTGTGGCATCACCTGCTACTTGTTAGGTGTGTTCCTTTCAGATAAGGAGTGTTACCTGCTCATGTGAGACTCATAGACAAACCACAGAAGAAGAAATAGGTAATTTTACGTGCAAGATCATTTGGGATTACAAGTGCCACAAGAAAGGCTTAAATGCAGACACACTGCCAGATCTGTGGGAGACTCAGAAAGGTTGTACCACCTGTGTGTGATGTGCTACTGATAGGTGAGAGAGCATAAGATTGTGGGTGTGGGGGCATGATATAAAATCTAATATAAATGAGGAAGGGAAAACTCACTTGTGATTTGGAGTTGGTTACAAGAAGCTTAAGCCTGATCACATGGATGATGAGTTTGGCAGTAACATTGGCTTTATAGAATGAAAATCAGTGTGAGTCAAAGACCAGAGTGTAGTGGATACAACAAATATTAAAGCAGGATGTTCTACCATATAGTTACCATTAAAGTTTTGACTCCAGCATTTGATTTAAGAACAAATTGCTGGAATCTGTCTTTAAGCTTTCAAATAAGAATTTAAGAATATTTAAGCCATTTTTTAGTGGTTTATATAAAACAAGTGCCTACTTTGTATTAAATATAGATGTGCTCTTTCAAAAAAAAATTGTCATACAAAAAGTGATCTTTTTATGAAACTGTGAAGCAAACTCTTCAGTTGTGCTCTGCTAGACATGCTGAAATTCTTTGGAAGATAATGAACTTAGACTACTGAGCTATGGGTACACAAATCAGATTTGACTTAACTAATCACACTTCTTCAAGAATTTAGCTTTCATGGGAATAATTAAACAAGTACCATTCCTGTTCTTTATTTCTTCCTTGGAAGCTTTCTTTGGCGACATATAAATGCATATTTATTGCTGGGTTATTTAAAAATTGAAGCTGAAATGTTCAGTTCCATGATACAGTCTGAGTATTTGCTCACATACTATTTTAACACCCATTCAGAAGCTTTTTGTGCCATTCCTTGAATGTCTGACAGTTGGGGTTTGAGAATATTGTCAACTCTTTGAGGAAATTCGGAGCTCAGGACTGAAGGATTATTCTAACTGTCCAGCTATTCCCATGCACTCATAATTATCTCTCTACTAGCAGTACAAAGTGGCCCAATACAGATCAGTTAAACATGTAGGAATAAAGGAGCCTATTTCAGCAGCACTATAGTGTCTTTTATCTATCCACTGCTTTTCACTCTTTTTCTTTTTTTTTTAATTACTCCTTGGAGCTTTGGGGTTTTTTTATGCAGGCAGTATAAACTACCCTACATGAAAATGTTTTGGTACAGAGTTACCTTAGGATCTGGGAGTCACATCCTCAAACAGGTGAGAATATATTACAGCAAGGAAGAGGAAATGGATTCATTGGCTATGTGCTGAATCTTTTCAGTTTTGAGTCTGCTAGGTGAGGTCAGGATGATACTTGATCCAATAGGATGTGCTTCTGACTTTTTCCCAAAGGACATGTTCTGTGCATGTTGCATTTAAGTCATTACAACGTATTTCACTGAATGTTCAGACAAGGAAAAATACAAAGCAAAGTTGCGCACAGTGCTATGAAGTTTCTTTTCTGTTTTAGTCGGGGTATTTCCAGAAGGTATATTTTTGTATTTGCTTATATATAGCCTGCCTTTGTATGTGGTGGGATTTGGGTGTTTTGACCTAAAAGATGCCAGTTTAAACCGTGCATAAGTTGAGAATGAGAAAAATGTAGTGCTACCTGATCCTTGCTTGGAAGTCTAGTGTGTTCAGTTTCTCACGCATAGAATAATTACCAGATTGGCAGTAATTGCTACTCTTGGGCAGACTCAAAACAAAGAGCACACATTAAGTTGGCATGGAAACAGAACTACCCCCCTGAGCTTTATTCTGTTTTCTCCAAAGTACTGTGACTTATTCATTAGCCACAGTGCTTTGTTCATTCTGGCGTGAGTAGCATAGAGCGAGCCTCCAGCACAGCTGCCCCGTGCTATACCTTGTCCTGTGAAAGAAAAACAGAGAACATTGGTCTCCATGGCTCAGCTTGACATCTTTTATTACAACTGAATTAAATCAAAATTATAGAAAAGTATATTTGTTCTGTTTTGATCTTACTTGTTGAGCTTCTTAGACACTTTCCCCAAATCAGAATCTTACAGGTAGTATAAACATTATCAGCTAAGACTGATTTCAAACCAAAATGCCTTAATGAACCTTGAATTTAATTTTGTAGTACAAATTTGACTTCAATAAAACACAGTTTTTACAAAGCAGTTACTTCAAAAATTGCATCATTTAAATGTATTATAAAGCAGAACTCGTTGTACTGTTCCCCCAGACAATTATTTATGTCTCTTGACTGTGGTCTCAGCTGTGATGTGAGTACACATATGCTAAGGAAATCTGAGTGAAAGGAATAACTAAAGCAGTCAATGCCTGTTCACGTTATCAGCTCTAGATGCTAAGCTGTTTTAAATAATTTACTGGTGTGTTTGATACTCTGATATTTAAATAGCAACTGCAGCTTGGAAACTCCATAGGTACTTAATTTGTTAAATTGTTGAATTCCTTATGAACTTCAGTAGACTGACCTTCCAAAATGTGAAATTGGGTTAACAAATTTTTTCAGAGTTTCACAGCAGCAGTATTTCAGCAAATCTTTTATGATGTGTTTTTGTTTTCCTTTTTTTAGACACAAAATCAAGGGTAAATTAATTGTAGGACATTGAGACCACTTTTCCCTGCTTGAAGGTAATAAACTGTACACTTATGTGAAGGCACCTGTAGTGCATTATTCAACTGCTTTTGTTTTCCTTAGACCTTTTTCAGGAGTTGTCCCTCAGCTTCAGTGTATTCACTGCCCTAAGTCTGTAGGTGCTGCACTTACTTTATTTTGCCTTTTTCATGGCAAAGTGTTACTGTGAGAGGGGACACATTGGGACAGGGAGAAACGGTGACTGGAGCCTGCTGCACTTCATCTGTCCTCACCTGGATAGTACACAGTCCCCTGAAGCAAATAGCTAGCAGCCAGCTGACACATGTTTGAGCATCCCCTCAGTCCTGGGCTCTGAATGATCTGGGGCATCTGTCTAGAAAGTTTATTTTATAATAATGACTCATTGTTTTTGAGGTGCGTGAGTAGATTCAGTCACAGCCCATCTGGCTGCCACACGATGGAGTACCCAGCAACAATTTTTCTTTCCTTCCTCTTCTCTTCTGCAAGCAACCAGGGGGAAGCTGCTGAACATTTGGAGTTGCAAAGGGGAAGCAGCTGCTTAGAGTTCCAAGTTCCCAGAAGAGCTTCTCTCTGGGCTGCAGTAGAGCACCAGATGGAGAGCTGAACCCATATTCCCTTCTCTAGTGTATGAAATGATTCAGACATTTCAATAAAAAAATTGCAGGACATTGTAGGGAACACGTTTTTGATAGATGATGAAACAGATTTGCTTTGTTTTAACATACTTTTGAATGCTGTAACTTAGAACCAGAAAGGCCACAGAAATTACTGTAGACTTATGTCAGAAGCACATGAATATATAGATCTGCAAGGACAGAATCTGCTTATTTTGTAGCATCACTATGAAGCACTATGGTGCTGGGAACAGAATAAACAAGAAATGCTGAAGACATCATAAAATGGTGAGAGTCAACAGTGAGGAAGAATGAAGGGATGATGATGGGAAATGATGGTACTGGTACATCTGTACAGGCAAAATAGTTCCTTGTATATGGCACATAAAACTTCTGATTTTATGTAGAATGTATAATGTAAAAGTAATGATTTATGGCTAATGAGCTTTTCTGATGTAAGGTAATTAGTCACTAGAATGTAATTAGACTCACAGTCCCTTTGCTCTGGGGTTAGTTACCACAACACATTGCTTACCATTAATGTGTGTGCATTCTTGTATATAAAATGAATTTATTTTATAAACTGGATAAACAATCTAGATTACAGTTTTCAAGTAGTCTTTTTCTGGTTTATTGGCATTCTCTTCTGTATGTCCTATTGTTCCATTCCAAGTGCGACTTCAAGATCAATTGTTGATTTAATGAAGTATCACATGTTACATATTCTTGAGGCTTTAAATCTGCTTTGTTTCTGGCAAAAGTTTGAAAGAGGGAAAAGTATCATAATTAAAGAGACTGTATTGTAATTCTCAAGAGAACAACATGGTATCTTTGATGTTGACATGGTTATTATAACATAATAAATGAGTGTCGCTCGAGTGTGTGCTTGAGTGTGGCTTGACTGTGGAGTGGAAATGCTTTTCTCAAATTTATTAACTTATTCAGACTGATCAGGGCAGATTAATTTACCTAAATATCGATATTATAGCCTGTCAGTGTAGGCCTTCATCATAAATCTCTGCAGAGAAAGTGTTTCTACAACATGATCCATCACTTCCAAAGGCAGACAACTAGATGACAGAGGTAATTGCACTAAACAGGTGTGTGTTCCTTTCTGTTGACTATGAAGGTTTGGGGTGACCAGCTCAGTTGCTGAAGTTTGGTGACATGAAGGAAGAACTTTGGTGATCTTGTGTAACACTAAGAGAAAACTACAAAGCCAGAGTGGTTGATACCATTTTCTTCCTCACTTGTGTATGCTTTTGGTGCTGGGAGAGTTCAGAATTCAGAATATGTTGATTTTACAGACCTACATGATGGGATGCCTGAAGGCCTAAGGAAGTGGGGTCCTGTACAATGATGAAGGAAATAGCATTTTGAAAACTTTCTGTAAGTGTGCAAATATGTTGTGATATTTTTCAGGGTGGAGATCTAGACTTTAAAATTCAAGAGTACAAAGATTCTGGGAAGATGTTCACTCAAAGCCAAGTTATAGACTGGTTTATACAGTTATTATTCGGAGTCAACTATATGCATGAAAGGTACAGTCATTTGATATGAGAGCATTTAGCTTGGGAGGGGAGTGATTGACTAGTTAGTGGTATTCAAACAGAAATGAAAGTTCTGATCACCAAACTATTGTAGTAAGTTTATGTCAGATACCTCAAGTGTAATTAATTATCTACCCTGCAGGAACATTGTGCATTCCATCTTTTAGCAGGACAATGGTAAATGTCTTCCAGCATTAGACACACTTTTTTTCAGAGCCAAATGGAAAATGGAGTACAGAAGAAATAGTTCAATATTGCTAGAAGAAAATGGATTAAAAGGCTAAAACAAAGTAGTCTTTTTAAAGGGGAGTCAAGAAGCATGTCCTGAACATGTTTAATGTGAAGCATCCAATATATATGCTTGATATACTCCCAGTAAAGTCAGTGGAGTTATATACACACATTCTTTGAAAAGAGATGTCACTTTTAACATCACATCAAAGACTGACTTAAAAAATTACTGCAGGTAATCCAGATATGAGGAGATCACACATGGCTGGAGCAGGGGCGGTGTATGTAGATGAATACCTACCTGGTCATCTGCATGAGTGTAGCTCTTGCCTGCAGTGTGATTTAGGCAGGCTGACTGCAGTGATGGAAAGATTTCCCTTACTACCAGTGTGCTGGACAGGTGCAATGCCTGTCTGGTCCCTTTCTACATCATCCTTTGCAGGGCTTGGCCAAAATTTGCTTGCCTGAATTTTAGGTGTACCCAAGCAGTACGTAGAGAAGCCACCTGTTGTCAAGAACAACCACTCCTTAACTGAGCTGAAGTTAAGTGTGTGGGATGTGTTTGATCTAAACTGATGGATGTCTAATGAGTTTTTGCCAGTGTCAGACTGTAGAGGGGAAAAGGGCAGAGTGAATTGCTGCCCAAGATGCAGGAGCATTTTTGTTCCTAAATGCCAATTTATCTAGGGCTTCTACATGAAATGCTGCCCTGCCAGTGATGGGAGGACACAAAGAGAACTCTCTTGGGCTGCTGTGCTCTTCAGCATTCGCCTCAGGCCAAAAGGACAGAGGGAAGTGGAAATAAAAATCCTGACAGTTTAACTGAACTATCAGTGTGACTTGGGTTTTTTCCCCTCTCTTGAACTTCAATTTAACAATTACAATAACTTTCAATTTAACAACTTATCATTAAAAGTTTTGGTGCTCGGAAAGTCCCCTTTTGGCAAAATCCTTTCTTTAATATATGTGTTTAGAAGATGCATTGTGCAGAATAATGCAGCATAATAATATAAACATTGTGTTTGGGCTGATGGTCACTGTAGGCCCCTTCCAACTGACCTGCTTTATTTTATTCTGTGAGTTATTCTTTTTGTCTTTAATTTTCTGAATTTTCTTATGCCTCTTTTCTCTCTATTTTACTCATCTTCTACTTGTTCTCAAACAAATGTTTAAAACCAAATAAGATCCTAAAAATAAACTTTAATTGGTTGTATATAAAATTTGGTTTCGTGAGAAGTCAGTTAATTCTCCAGTTTAAGCAAATTGATTTTCCAAACAGGATTTTATTTTCTCCTTTTCAGTCATAGCTAATAGTACCTCTCCAGATACTTACAAATAACTTGACAGTTTCAATTTTTATATATTTATGTGTATTTTGTGTTATTAGGCTGTATGTACATTATGAAATATAACCTTTTCCTTATTAGTATAGAGTCAAACAATAGCTTAAGTGGAAAAGATTAGGCTTAAAAGAATTTAAAACTACCTACAGAAATTTGAAATACTAAAACATAATAATAGCCCTCTGTTTCTGTATAGAGGAGTCATGCATGATTTCTTCTCTACTGACATGGAAAAAAGCTGTAATATATGTTTGAATTATGTTCTAATGCAAAGAAAGCTTTTCTCTAGAATTAGAAGCTTGAAGTGTTTACAGCCTGTGGGTTGGTCCTTCCCCATGACATTCTTAAGAAAACTCAGCTTCTGTGGATGTGAGTTTTTTTTTGCCAGAGCAGCAAAAATTATTATTTATGGTTTTAAACAGACTTTTCACTTGTCCTTCTTGCACAACTTTAGTTGAACTTATACACTTTTTGAAAACTCTTATGCTGGAAAATTAATGTAATTTTTTTTAATTTGAAACTTGAAAACAAAATTATCTAGAAATAAACAGATTCAATCCTTATCTGTCTTTGATATAAAGAAAGGGAGAAGTAAAGGGAGGCACCATAAGAGCGGTCTTATCTTCACAGAGACCTTTAGCATGAAACCATCCTGTAGTCTCTCGTGTTACACATAGCCCATTGCATGTCAGTGCACAAAATTAATCCCACAACAATCAGGCAATGATGCCATTGATTAATTTAACCTCAATTTGAATAAGGCTGACCATTATGTTACCCATCATTTTGCTAATCATTATGAAAAATTGATGAGCACACATTTTTATAAGGTTATTCTTTGTGCAAACAGCAGATAATACAGGGTTCAGACTTACACAGAACCTCTTACTCTTCTCCAGAGTTCTTCAGATAGAGGAAAGAGAAATTAATTATGTGTTATTTCACAGCAGTAATATACTTCTGCTTCCCTCAGCTTCACTTGCAGCTCATTCTGTTGCAGGCAAAGCTTCATTCAAGGAGCCTGCCCACTGCTCTGGGCATGTCCTGTTCTTTCATGACTATGAGCCAGCAAGCAGGTACTCTGCAGAACATAGATATGGGTGTATTTACAGCCCAGATTTGAAACTGTCCTTGCATGTTAATTTCTACCCAAATTAGCCACTCAATAACCACTTCACTGTCCATCAAGTTTCAGGCAGGATTTCAGCTGATATCTTGTTTATCTTCAGACATATCATAGAAGAATAATTTGCATTGCATTGAGAAATATCATGGAAAGCTGAAAAAAATTATCCCAAATATTTCCTTGTCATATTAATATATGAAAGCATCTTATAATTACTGGTAATGCAGATAATGAATTTTCATCAATATGTTGCAAGATTACAGTAGCATTACATTGGAATTCAAACCAATGTGACCCAAACATCTTTTTTTTCATCTCCTTTTCAAATAATATGCTACTGAAAGCTTTCTGGATCATTCTTTAACTTCAATATACCTGTTACTAAAGAAGTAGATAGTCAGAAAAGTTTCAGGTTCAAAAATTCTGTGGTTATATTTCTACAAAGGAGTGTGATTAAAAGAAGGTTGAAATCCAGCAATTCTCAGCAGCAATGTACAAGAATAAGTTAACTCAGTGAAAGCAAGTTCTTTCAAAGGATCTGTGTGATGAATGGTAAGAAAATTCCTTATGAATCTCAATTAACACAGCAATATTTCTATAAAAATGCGTGTGTGTACATACAGACATATATATACTTATGAATGAATAGCAAATATCACCCTAGTTTAATTTCCTTCCTGATGTATTGTATGACTGTATGTCTATTGCTCACAGAAGTTGTCAAATAGAGAACAAATTATTTATAAACAATATTTTATAAACATGGGTGGAGCCATATGAATAAATATTTTATATAAATATATAAATATATGAATAAAATTTCATTTTTCCCAATGCAAAAAACCTTTTTCTAATGAAATTAAAAGCATTACTTTCAGGACAAAAAAGTGAAAGAAAAAGAAGTGAAAAACAATTGCTATAAAAAACATGAAGAACTCTTTTCTTTGACCCATAAAAATAGAAATGTTTCTTTTTCATGCCCAGTCTATGTACATACTGCAATGAATTCTACTGTTATTTTTCATGTTTTTTTCCCCATTTGTGAACTGAGTATATTGAATTGCATATTTTTTTCTCATCTTGCAAAAAATATTTTCAAATGACTTGTGGACAAAATTGGGTATTTAAGCTGCAGAATGTATATTTTATAATGTTAATATAGAAACTATTTTGGAAATAATTTCATTATGTCAATGCCTAAGACTTTAATAATTCAAATTTGAGATAATACTTGAGGATTGCACAAAAAAATCAAAATTGAGTGTTGTATTCATTTTAGCTGCCCTCAAAAATCTCAAACCATCACTTTCTTTATATGATCTATTTGGCTGAATGACTAGTGTATTTGTATTAGCAAATACAATTTCTGCAGCCAGTATGTACCAAATGTTATTCTAACCTCCTCCTGAGCAGAGCTAATGATTAATCCTGTGTGTTAATAATAATTTCAAAAGTGGATGAATTCTAGTTTAGGTGAGGCTATAGGCAACAATGCTTTTGGAAGTGTTATTAACAAGAATTAATTGAGAATATGTTTTGTATACCGCAGAGATACTTTGTTTTCCTAAGGGACTGTAGAATTACTGTCACACATGTAAGACTTACAGAAATTAAGAAGATTCTGTATATCCTTACATGGTGTGTAGCTTATAATGCTTTTTTTTCAAACTCTCATGGAAAAATAAGTCTGTAGAAGCTAATTGTTCTGTTCCTTTTCCTTTTCATCTTTGTAAAGTTCTTTCATCTTCCATGCTGTTACTGTAAAAAATTGAACTACTAGCTTACACTATATACATATTTGTCTTTGAAGTAATACTTTTACTCTGTAGGAGTCTTCCTATAGCTTTGAGTATTTTATGCTTTTTTATGCCTCTTGTAAGGCATCTCATTCTGCTGGCAGAAAATAAGATGTAATGCTTTTCAGAGGAGTCAGATAGGAAGACTTGCCTTTCTCTCTTCCTCTGCAGCTTGTGCTATGTCTGTATCTATGTTCTTAAGCTGGGATCCCCAGGTATGTTTTTATTATCCTGCTTAGGCTCTCACCCTGCATGTGGGTGCCTGTGAATGCACCTCTGTGAAGCTCCTTAAGGCCTCAGTGCCATGGATTGTCACTGGCAGAGTTAGACTGTAGCAGTGGTGGGCTGGCCTTTCTGAAAAGGGATGAAGTTAAATGCCTGAAATACTTAATACACAACTCTGAATGCTTCCAGTTGGATGAGGCTGAATTTCCTTTTCTATTCCAGACGGATACTTCACAGGGATTTGAAAACCAAGAATATATTTTTGAAAGATAATCTTCTTAAAATTGGTGAGATTTCTATACTTGTTAAAGATATATTTTCATGTGATAGAACAGTCCAGCAGACATTTTGTCAATAAGGAGATTTAAAGAAAATTGTGTCCGAAATAGCATTTTGATTTGTAGTCAAACATTTATTTGACAGTTAGACACTGGAGAGGCAGTGAAATCTCTAGCATTGAGGGTGCTTCAAGCTTGGCTGGGCCTGGACCTGAGCAGCCCCATTTAACTTTGAGCCAGGGGTTTGAATCAGATGACCTTGTGAAGCCTCTTCAAACCCACATTGTTCTGTGATATTATGCTTGTGTGGTGTTTTTATTTTGAAGAACTGCAGAAAATAGTTTTTCCCATTTTTTAAAATACTAGCAGAATTTTCTGGATGTACAGTCACTTTATCATATCCGACAATAAACAAAAAAGTTTATATTAATAGATATATGTTAGTATTAATACATTATTGTTTCTACTGATATTTTTAGGAGACTTTGGAGTTTCTTGTTTTTTGATGGGTTCATGTGATCTTGCAACTACTTTTACTGGGACACCACACTACATGAGTCCAGAAGTACTGAAGCACCAGGGATATAATACAAAATCTGACATTTGGTGAGTGGTTATAATGCTATTTTGGTTGGATTAGGCATTTATCACCACTAAACTATTTCAGGACATTAGAATCAAATGTTGCAATTTGAAGCCTTGCCCTTTTTGTTAAGAAGCATGTAGTTGACTTTTATTCTAGGTTATCTGAGACTTTAAAGGAGAATAAGATTCGGCTCCAGTCTCTGATGTGGTACAGGATGATTGTAGACAAAGTTCAGGTTTTTCTAGAAAGGGGGAAATCTCTTTTTTTCTCATATTGAGATAGATGAATTGAAAAAAAGCAACTTTCTGTGAAACTTTAGATGGATGAGCAAAGAGTGATTCTGGCTGCGAGGATAGAAGGACCTTCTTAGGAACTAAATTTAAAAACATTGGCAAATGTTAAAAGCAAGAAGGTGTTTGGAAGTGAAGCTGAAAATGAGAATAACTGCAGTGTTAGAACAGAAACAAAAAGGCACTCTGTTTTAGAAGTGACTCAAAAGTAGAAAGAAAAGTATTGGTTCTGCATTTAGATGGCACAAATCCTTGAAATCAGGACTTCTGATGTGATGATTAAAGGATCAAGTTTAGGAGCTGAGGTCTGTTGAAAGACTTTGGGAAACTTGTGGGTGTGCAGGTACTCATCCAAACTAAGATGAAGAATGATTTTTTTGTAATGGCAAAAATATCTGGCTTGTTTATATGTGTGTCTTAAAGCATTTCATGGTTTAAGATTATAGTTAAAAGTGTTGAGTTTTTAAATTTTGTCATAGTATTTTATTTAAGGGGCTTTGTTTCTTTTATGAGGTGTTTTGTTGTTTGTTGGGTTGTTGTTTGTTGGGTTTTTTTCCTGTAGGTATATGTATCAGAAGATTAATTGTTAAATAAGTATTTCAAACCAGGAAAGTTTCTTTGTAAAACATTTGGATTATAGTTTGATTGCTTTGTCTCAGTTCTGACTTTTCAAAATATACTTGTGGCTGCAGGATATAATTCTAAAAGTGGAGGACAGTTATCTATATTTTCAAATGGTAGCAACCATTTTTCACAGTTGACATATTCAGTCCAGTCAACAGATATGTCAGGAATCTCATCTCATGGCCTGTGTGGCTGACTGCTATGGATTTGATGTCAGATTCTTTCTTGTTCATCTGTAGCAAATATCAGCTAATACATGTAGTCAATAAAAATATATTGGGAGAAGATTTCAAAAGATGTCAAAACAAATGAAAAGGCAGGGAAGCCTGCCTTTTGTGCTCTTCTACCCCAAGGAATAATTTCTTTTTTTGCAGTGCAAATAGGAAGTAAAATACATGTTTAAGTTCTATTTGTCGTTACTAGTGTCAATCCATATAGGTCATTGAAGTTGTATAGAGTAAGCATAGTCAGAGTTTGGTCCAATAGTTTTATAAATCATGTGTTGATCACCATTTCAAAATTTACAAAAACACAGAAAGAAATCCCCCCATCCCAAATTCAGTAGCTACCAGCTTTCTGCTATACTTTCTGGACTCATGTGTTTGATTGATACTCATGTCTTTTAATCTTTTAATAATGATTCTTTGAATCATTAATAATGATTCTTCCAATGATTCTTGCTTTTTTTTCCACTATCCCCATTTAACAAAAGACAAGAGGTCACTGAGCATACAGGGGAGCACACCCTGGAGGCTCCAGATAATATTAAGTCCTTGGGCCACTGTGCAGGAAGTTTGGTTGCTCATGAAGGATCAAAGACTCATAGGATGGTTTGGGTTGGAAGGATAAAGATCATCTTGTTCCCACCCCCCTGCTGTGAGCAGGGACATCTACTAGATGAGGTTGCTCAAAGTCTGAGGTTGCTCTAGCCTGGCCTTGAACTCTCTCTCAGCTTGAAGTTGTTACTCCTTGTCCTATCATTACATGCCTTTTTACAAAGTCTCTCTCTCTGGCTTTCTCTGTGGCTCTCTCTCACTTTATGTGCTGGAGGGTGCTCAAAGGTCTCCCTGGAGCCTTCTCCAGGCTGAACAGCCCCAACTCTCTCATGGAAGGGGTGTTCCAGCCCTCAGATCCTCTTTGTGTACCTCCTCTGGACTTGCCTCAACAGGTCTGCATCCTTCTCATCTTGGGAGCCTGGATACAGTACTCCACGTGAGGTCTCAGAATAATGAAGTAGAGGGAAGAATCTTGTTCCTCAGCCTGCTGCTCACACTGCTTCTGATGCAGCCCAGGATGTGGATGGCTTTCTGGGCTGTCAGCACATGTTGCCAAGTCATATTGAGCTTTTCATCATGCAAGTCCTCCTCAGGCCTGCTTTCAATTCATTCTCTGGCCAGTCTGCATTTGTCACCTAAGTGCAGGACCTTACAATTTGCCTTGTATTCCATAAGGTTGGCATGAGCCCATCTCTCAAGTCTGCCAAGATCCCTCTGGATGTCGCCTTCCAGCATGTCAACCATACTACACAGCTTGTCAGCAAACTTGCTGAGGATACACTCAGTCCCTCTGTCCGTGTTGCTGACAGAGATGTTAAACAGCGCTGTTTGTTGACCTCTGAGGAATTTCAAGGAGTTTCCCAAGTCTTTTATATGGAGCTGAAGTGACATTCCCTCTTCAGACGTTTTTTTCTGATCTCTAGCAGGACCCAAAAATTCACACACAAAAATTCAGACTTGCAAGTGTTCCCATATTAAATGTAAGATAATGTAAAATATCTTCTGGAAAAAACAATTAGTGCTGTCTCACCTTGTTATCATGATCCTCTCACTATTCAGTTCAGTTCATTGGAAAGACCTTAATTTATGCTGCATTTATGATGTGCTCTAAAGAGATGCTGTGCTTTTCAGGTTCACTGAAACATTCTGTACTGGCTTTTCAAAACTGGCTTGAATATTCACAGTGCAGCAGCTGATGCAGGAAGTATTGTCCTTTATAGCCCAAGGTAAATAGATGGGGAAAAAAACTTCATATTTTACAGTTTCTCCCTATGGAAGTTCTGCAGTTACGCTCAGAGAAGTGGCAGCATTTATGTTTTTCTTCAGTTGAAATGTCAGGGCTGGAGTTCTTTGCCATTCCATGCTTTATGTCAAATCTAAATCCACAGGAGGCAAATTAAAGTTGGCTCACATGTTTTCCCCAGCATCCCTGAGCCTGGACTGGCTGGGCCATGAGAGAAAACCTTTGCAGATGACACAGTCTGGGGTTTCCTCCTTTCCAGATAAGAAGCTTCTTCAGGGAGCTGATCTCAGTTTGGCAGTTCACGACCCCTTCTTCCCATCGGTGCTTCCCAGATCCAGCAGGGAGAGGAGTCAAAGAGCCCAGGAGGCCAGGCCAGGTCAGGGGTCAGTCAGTGATGGGTGTGTGGGCAATTGGGCTCTCTGATAGCCCAGCACAGCCTGACCCCGTGGCACTGCTGTGCCACTGTCCTGCTGTCCCTTCCTGCCCTCACAGCCTGTGGTGACACTGATGCTGTTGGGACTCAGCTGACATTCCCATGCCTCCAGTGCTGTGGCAGAGACAAAGCAATGTCACAACCACATGTAAACCCGTTGTACTCTGTCTTCCATCAAGAACTGTCAGATTTTGACAGATGGTTTGTCTGTTGTGTTTGGCTAAATTGGGATGCTCACACCACAGATCTGGAGGCTTTCATTTTATTGTGCTTGCTTGTCTGTGCTTTCCCTCCACTTTGTCTTTTTCTTTCATATTAACAATCAAAAAATGAAGCAATGAGAAGGCTGGGGAAGACAGCAGCAGGGAGTTCTCATTTAAGAGCTGATGAGTGAGTATTGAGGAAATTAAATTCAGGGACACATTCCTCACAGACTCTGAAGCCAATTAATTCATAAGACCTTATGATATGATCAGAATAAGAGATATAGGCCATAAAGGTATATGCATTTACATTATCTGACTTTTGAAGTTGAATTTAAAGCTAACTTGGATCTTAGAACCTTTGAAGAACTGTAATTTTTTTTACAAAAGATCAGAAGATGTTAAAAAGATGGCAATATTTATGTAAGCAACATCAAAAACCTCAGGGTGGTTTTTCCTTAGAGGGAGAAGTTAGTGGTCTGTCAGTTGAGACTGGGGAGAACACACTGAAGCCTGTCTAGATGCTCCATTTTCTGATGTAATCAAGCACAAGTAGCTTCAACATGAACTGGTCATGCCCAAATTTTGCTGAAATTATGTGCCGTTCAGGAACTTTGTCAAACCTATTCATGAATATAGGGATTTGTCAAACCAAGTGTGCTGGCTGGCTGGTTTAATGACCATTCTAGAATTTTATAACATTGGAACTTATTCAGGCTAAGATTATAAAAGTAATTAAATTATATGTTTGGATTGTGTGCAGATCGCTTACAGGAACTGGGAAGCAATTTCCTCTTGCTCCTCAGGAGGTGCTTAGACCAGAAATGTAGAAACTGAGAAACAATGAGAAACAATGTAGAAGCAACTGAGAAAGGCAGTTTTGAGCCAAAAGCTTGTCTGTTACTTTAGGTGTTTGCAGCTCAGCAACTCTCTTGGGAGGAAGAAATAGCCTTATTCAGGAATCCAGGGCAGCATTTCTCAGTTTAGGAGATATTTATATTATTTCAAAGATTTTGATCCTGCAGAAGGAAACTTTATTCTTTTTCCTTAATTTTTCTTTACTTTTTTCCTTGATTTTTTTCTTTCATGGAAAAGATGGGATTTTCCCTGGGTAGCCTGTTCACAGCCCTGGCTACAGCAGAATGCCCTGGGCATTCTTTTCATCTTTCTCCACCTCAGGTGTAGCCAGAGCACTAAACTAGATGAGTAAATCAGCTTGCCTGATGTGTCAAATCCCATGTTCCTAATGGCTCATTAAACAATTTCTAGCTGCCAGAATCAAGCAGCTTCCAAAACAGATTGATTCTGCAAAAAGAAGTTATAGTACAGTCTGTCAGGTTGGGATTTTCCTTCTTGTTCTCTCTGGCTGATTTCCATTTTTATTTGATGCTTTCAGATGCTGTGTGCATAGGGGGTTTTTTTGTTGTTCTTTTTGCTTTAAGTATTTTCTCATGTAGTAATTATCCTGTTTCAGAGTCTGAACATACATCATGAATACAGATTATCATCAGTGTATTACTGTTTACTGATTTTTAAAGTTCGAAAGCTGTTTGACTGTTTAATCTTTAACTATTTATTTACCTCAGTAGTTGTTCTTTAGCTGATTCTTAGCAAAAATGCTCTGCTAATGGTTTTGACATACTTGCTTGAAAAGTACCAGTGAGTGGAGTCCCTCCCATTCTCTCTCTTATTCCTTATTTGCACTGAATGTAGGCCTTTGGTTTCAGCTTTAAAATTATTTGCTCTTGTTTTTTTTATTGCTAGATGTGCCTCAACTCCTCTTCTTTAACCAAAATGAATAATTTAAACTTTATTCATTATTTGCTTTCAAAGATTTTTATACCCCTTTCCTGAAAGCCATTTACCCGTACATATTTCTTATCATTATGCTTTATTTTCTTACTTCTTATGGAATCACAGATTAAATTATAAATACCACAGTCAAATATGAAGATATTTAAGCTGGTTGCTTAGATGAGCCTTGACCTGTATCTGGCTCTCACCAGTATTTTCTGAGATGCCCTGACTGGAGAAAGAGCTGAGCATCCTCCAAGGCCTGCAAAACTCAACTTCCCTATTTTTAAAAAAGCATTTGTCAGACAGAACTCAGATGAACTGCAAATTGTTATGAATAGTCATTATATAAAAATATTATGAGAGTGTTTATTTTAAAATGTTCAACATGGTGACCTTTTATGATGGGCATTAGGACTGCTGAATAATATGCTATCCCTATTTGTTTATTCTTCAAGGTCTCTGGGATGCATTTTGTATGAGATGTGCTGTATGAACCATGCATTTGAAGGACAGAATTTTTTGTCTGTTGTGTTAAAAATTGTGGAAGGTGAAACACCTTCTCTCCCTGATAGATATCCAAGCAAACTGAATGCTGTGCTATGCAGGTACGTTATTTTCTTGTTTAGCAGATTTTTCACTAAGTTTGGACAATTGCTTAATTGCTACTTTTGGTTTTTAATGTTTCAGCATGTTAAATAAGAATCCTTCATTGAGACCAGCAGCAGCAGAGATCCTAAAATCCCCTTATATTGATGAACAACTAAAAGTATGTAAGAAAAAGCAGTAGCTGTACATTTGCCATTTGAGTATGTATTTTGCAAAAGCAAAATGGAGGCAGGGAAATCATGTTGAGAAAAAATACTTTGATAGCTGTTGATGGGAGCATTTATCTAGGGGACTTTCAGAGCTATAATACAAATATGATTGAGGAATGAAGCCCTCATCACTTGATATGCTGAATGTATCCCCTCTTTAATGTTATGAGCAATAAGTAAAACAGGCATCTATGCATAACAAATGTAGATCATTTGGCCCTGGGTACATATATCTCTGAACTGTTCTGGTTCATCATAGTTTTAATGAAAACCAATGCCTTTTTCTCTTTTTCCCAGGCTTCAGTGCCTGTATTATTTGGCTTTCTGAGAAGCTGGGGAGGGAAACTCCTTGGACAGTTTTTATGTCAGGATGATATTGGGTAATAGCTGAAGATTCTGGATAACTTTATCATCAAATCTTGATACCCATTCTGTTTTATTTCCTTACAGAAAACACAGTACAAGTTCACAAACATTACTGTGAAAGACAAGGCACTTAACTGGCAGAAAGAAACTGCTCCCATTTTTGGTGCTGTGTAAGTATTTTTAACAGTTTTATAGGCAGTAGTATATGAAATTACAGTGTTGCCAAACAATCTCGTAGTGCTTCATGTTTAGACAAACCTATTCCCCTGAAATACAACAGAGCAACCACATTAGGGAGATGCATGATTAATATTTAGGGAGTAAAAAAAGATTTGCAGATGAAATATTCTTATTTTGTGACTGTGTAAATTGCACATGCATATGAAGGGTATGTTTATGTTAATTTAGTACCAATTGGTAAATAAATCATGACCTTTGTCTTTAAATTTTGGAGGTTTAAGCTGTCATTTTAGATAGGTCATCATCATTTATAGTGCTGCTGTTTTGGTAGTTACTAAAAATTAAATGTGGAAGCTATATTTCCTAAATTACACCAAACTAAAAGCATATACACTTAAACTAATACTCATCTAATACCTCCATAGGTATTTTTTGTCTTGTAACTACAGAGAGAAATCAAGAGTAGCAATGTTTCTTGGTGCTTATATCAGCAGTATCTTCACACATGATCTCTCTCTTAGGCACTGAATATATATTGAATTAATTGCATTAAATTACAATGCTGCAATGTTTAAAGCAAATTCCAACATGGACATTTTAATTTTGCCTTTGTAAATTAGCTCTGCAGTTTCATGGGTAGCTCACCCTCCCCTTTGCTCCTCATCCCTGAGTTTTCTGTACAGGTTTTGTTCTGAGAGCTAGTAAGAGCAAAACCAGAAGTCTGTGATCCTGTGAGGAAGCAAATCCCTGTTTCTTTTTTCCTCTAAATAACTGTCAAGATTTTAAGAGCTCTCTGAAATTTATTTTGAATTATTAGGTTACAGCAATGAAGATTAAAACAATCCAGAACTGGCAGTGCCTTTGAGGCTATAGGACTTTCACCTTTGTTTTCTTGTGATCTCTGCTCTTGTACAGGACCCACAGTTTTGCAGCTGTGATAACTTTGCAGATGCTGGTGTTTCTGCAGTTTGCAAGCCTCCCTTCAGGAGAGGTGACCACCTTCAGCTTTTCCAAACAAAGTGTACTTTGCTGCCAGTGGTAGGAAGAAAGCAGAGTACAGACAGTTGAATTCAGCATAGCAAAACTTTTATACATCATTTTATCCAGTTTAACTGCTGTCAGTGTATCTGTAGGCTCTCATCTTTACAAATTGTGTTTTGGGTTTCTACTCCTCACTTCTGTCCTTAGTGTCTCTTGTTGACAGATGAGTCTGTCTTTTTGTGAGACCAAAGTTTTCCATTTTTGTACGAATAGGTACTTCTAGTATAAATAGTTAAATGGACTTTGCAAGCCTTGATGTAAAATGAAACAATAAATATATATATTCAAGTTAATTCAATTTACTTTGAGAGGATTGCTTCCTTCTCAAATTAAATATAGTTAACTACAGAGATAGTCCTTAGAGACATTCTGTAGATAGTTTTGGGACACTGAAATATTTCCCAGATATTATGCCAAGTCTATCTGAAATATATGCAGTAATTTTAATGCTTGTTGAAACACAGAATATGAAAATCTTCAAGAAACTTTTAATTCTTGCCATTTTCTTGTGGGCACAAATTTTCAGATTATCTATACGCACCAAAACCATTGTATCTGCTTTGGGGAAGCAGGATTGTTACTTGCAAAATCTACATCCAGACTTCAAATATCCTCATGCTTTTAGATGAGACAGATAAAACCACTTTGTATTTTTTGTAAAATACATACTGTATTGTTCACCTGATCCACTGTCATTAGCTTGAATGCATTGAGTCTCATCACCTTCCAAATGGAAGAATCATTTTCTGACAGAGGTAGGTAGCATGTGAGAAGGATCTGTAAGTACACCTTTTCAAAGTCAAGTTTGTAGTCTCTAAGAGGAAGAGCAAGTAGTTCTAACTATAAACACCATGCTCTTGTACTATTGTTAGAAGGAAATAGAAAGTCTGCTACTCTGCAGAGGTCCAGAGTTCCTGTAAATTGAGAAGCAATGAATGGCAATTTATCTTGAGGTTTTAAAATTCAGGACGTAATTAGGGAAAAAATCCTAGGAGAAGTTTTACTTCATCCTTACTTGTTTTACAGTGTGATTATTTTGGCCCAAGTGTTTGGAATATGCAAGAAGTCATAATCTTATAATGACTCTCATTGTGCTAATGGCATTAGCTGCCTGTATTGTCACTGATAAGCAAAATACCAAATAATTCCTGATATCCCAGATCTAAACAGGTAGGTAAAATGAACTAAAAATACCTGAAAAATGACAGAGAGCAGAAAAGGTAAGGAGAAAAAAAATAAACATAGTGAATTTCCCGCATCTGCTGTCTTGCAGCAATACTCTAGTCCCAGTGACTGTACAAATAATTTCTTGCTATGGTGTTCTCCTCAAGCATTTGTACTTTATATTGATGTTTGCTTTTTCTCACCAGGAATTCTTTTTGCCATGCAAAGCAAAAAGGTTGAGTCTAATTTCTTCTAGTAAAGGCCTCTGATAGCTTATTTTAACCTATTCCCATTCAAGTCATAAATTTTAAATATTTAAGTAAGTATAAGGCTGTACAAGTTCAGTTTCAACTTGAAGGAAAAATTGCTTTTTTCCCCATGAGATTCTTTTAATTTGAATTAGAGTTTTTTACAGGAGAAAAGAAATATGTCTACATTATTCATACTTGAAGAGTTAGTTCCATTCTTATGAACAATTGAACTCTTCTTGTCTTTGTCCTTAATCTTTCATATTTCACACTAATATTCATATCTTTGCACTATTTGAAAAACATAATGAATCTTCCCTGCTCATTTATTAAAATTCAAAATGATAGTCCAGGAGTGTTACAATTTGTACAGTTACAAACCTGGCCTCTTAGATTATCAAAAGTGAATTTATCTCATAAGAGTAAAAACAGTAATTTGAAATGAATACTTGGTATTATAAATACATTGTATAATAAATATGTAATGTGTAAGTGAAAGGAGACTGCCAAGGCATTTCAAACTAGGGTTTAATTTTTGTTTTAATTACTGTAGGATGTGAGATAAAAATCTGAGATTAGTATCCTTTTTGTCATAAAGGACTAATATTGCTTTCTTTGGTTGATAAATACAGCTTAAATACATAAGTCAATAATTTATGCTCAGGTTTCAGAGATGGTCTGTGAAGACCATCTTAGCTGTGAAATCTTATTATTGATTAGGACCAGAAATTCAAGAGGACATCATGATAATTATATCTGTCATTAAGGACACATAAATATTCTCTTTTGTTCTAGACAGTTTGTAACAATCAATGTAAAATGTACAAGTGGTTTTATGGCTCTCATTTAAAGACTGCCTTTGTACTTGGAATATGTCCAATAATGAAGCCTGACAGGGTAAATATTTCACTGTGCTTCAATATTTATTCTTTTAAGGAGATGAATCTACCTATTTCCATCCCCACCTGAAATGATTCACCTTCTTCACAAATCCAAGTTTAAATATTTCAATTTAAAGAGGCATTTGCTTTCCAAACGAAGGTCTATTTAGTCTGCTTTAGTTCCAGAGACTTTCTAATTATTCCATTTGAAATGTCAGTGTGTTTCAATATCCAGTCAAAATACTGAATATTTACATTTTTATATAAAGTTGGGTTTCCTTGCATTCAATTTCAGACAGAAGAAAGTTCATTTGCAAACTCTGCAGGAACTTTCTGAAGTACAGAAAATGACACCGCGGGAACGAATGCGGTTGAGGAAGTTAAATGCTGCAGATGAGAAAGCAAAGAAGTTGAAGTAAGTTGTGCCCTAACCATGCAATTTTTCCGACCCAACAGTCTAATTGGAGAGTTAGAATTGTCAAGGTAGAAATAAAAACAGTATGGGTCTTCAGCTACTCAAAGTCAATGAGAATTTTGGATGACAATAATCACACAAATTATTTATGTAGGAAAAAAATTAGAATTTTAGCCCAAAACTGGTGCTTTGAGTACCAAAGTTCTGGTCAAATAAGTATATGAGAGATTTTCAGGTGTGTTACAATAGGAGACATTTTTTTAATGACTGTTTATGTTAAGAATTGCCTGGTCTGAGGAGCTGGACATTTAGTTACAATCCAGTGCTTGTCAATTGTTTTGGCCTCAGAGGTTTTCCAATAGAAGTTAATAGCTGGAGGATAGATAGTCTTGTCAAAGGATCAAAGAGGGGTAATGGTTGTATTGTAAAGGATTTATGATTTATGGGCTTTTTTATTAAGTGAGACATAACAAAATATTTTGGAAGAGAGTAGATACAGTTTCTGATGGAATATGAGAAACAACTGGAAGGTTTTGTTTGGGGTTTTTAAATAAAAACCAGAATATATAGTTTTGATGACACATTTGAAGCAAGTAACTAAAACCTTCATGTCCTTTTGGAAAATATGTCTGAAGAGTACTTGTGCCTGACTGGCATTTGCTACATAAATCGATTCTAATTTTAGAAAACCCTCTCCTTGAACTTATAGAGAAAGTATTAACATCTCTTCTGCATGGTGCCTTCAGTAATATGGTAGGCAAATTCTTGTACTAATATGAAATTTGTAAATAGGAACAGAAACTGTCTCTTTCACGTTTTAAAAATTAATGGAGAAAGATTAAGAAATTAATTAGTAATTAATTAATTATTAGGAAATAATGCTAATTGCAGGATAGTTCTAGTTTGGTTTTCATTTTCATTGCTTTCTTCCATTTTGGTGTTTTCTGATGAGATTTTCACATTTTTTCTTTCCCCCAAAACCAAAATGAAATATATTTATTTTTCATTATGAAGGGAAGATTAATATTCAGACCTTGTTTTCAGGCATGAGTTTTTGAAATGGATCAACACTGAGCTCTAGACCATTGTCAGCTGACTCTGGCTGAAAATGTTGGAAACAATGCAAAAATTATACCTTCTCAGACTGGAGATCTAGTTCCAGCAGTGAAAATCTAGAGATGGGTGGGAAGGGAATATATTAATGGAAGCTGGCAAAACTTCTTAATGTAGCACCTGTCTGAAGTGGTTCCACACAGAAAAGCACAGTTATCAACTGTCCTCCAGGGGAAGAGTTTGTAGCACACTAATGTCCCATGTCTGTCTGAAGCTCAAAGGTCTCTGCACTACATGGTGGAATAAAGCCCAAAGTATTTAAGACTGTTGGAAGAACTAGAAGAGACTGGGACTAATAATTTACTATTTCCTGCATTCATTAAAACCTGAGTAGATACCATGAATATTTGACAACATGAAAATCTCAGCACAGAATTTGTTTTTCCATGTTTGCTTTTAGAAGATCCCTTTGTGCATGCTCTGAAATCATATTCTAAATACAAGTGTTCTGTATTTACAGGCAGCTGGCAGAAGAAAAATATCAAGAAAATATCAAAAGAATGCAAGAATTCAGGTCCCGTAATTTTCAGCAGCTGAATGTCAATGTTTCTTTAGCACTAGAGGCACAGGCCTGTTCTGAGACTTGTAGCTGGGAAGTGCATCAAAATCTGGACTGCTTTGCTGAACCTGTTGATCTGTGATGAGACAAAGTACATTCAGTTATTCACATGTGGTTCAACAAGCTCTCTATTCATTGCACAGTTTTATTTCTTTAAGTTACCCTTTCTTAATTTACCCTTAAATCTAAATTTGCTCTCTGAAATGTTTTTACTGACTATATGACATCAGAGTTCAAAATACATTTATTTTCAAGATGTTTAGACTTGTAATCCTTTAAACATTATAATTTGGCATGGCTATGGGTTATTTTCATTTGGTTAAGCATATTAACACTTCACCTGGCTTTCTAGTAAAAATGAAGCCTTGGAATGACTCCCAGAATAAGTTGTCCTTTGCTTTTAAGCTATCTGCAACAGAAAATGAGCCAGTTCAATTCTAGCACCACATCCTATTGTAGAAAGAGAAGGGTCATTTTGGAATAGTTGATTAATGCAACACAGAAATATTTTTTTTTCCACTTTGTATTTTATCTTTTCTTTTGTATGTCCTCTGGTTTCCGTTTTCCATTGTGTCTAGAGAAAAAAATATATTAAACCTGCTTCTTATGGCTGAGTCACTACTGATCATTTACAAAAATGTTAGGATTTTATTTTAACATTTACCTAATACAAGTCCCAGGAATTGTGTAGCTCAACCCCTGTGTTGTGATCCTGCTGAAAGCTCTGTTCTGTTTCTCCATGCTGCCTCATCATTTGACTAAGGAATCTGATGAGCAGACTTCAAAACATCTCATTCATTCTCAGCCAGCCACTACGGGGAACTTTGTGTCCACAGGACATGATGAAGCAAGAGGGAATGGGACAAGTGAAATCAGCGTGTCTGAACTTACAGACCACGGTAAGAATTCAAAGTCTGATATTAAAGTGAAAATTCCTATCAAGAAAGAAAGATTTGTCCCTTGTAGTTCTTATGCAGTGGGGAAACTGGTTTAAAAAGTGGTCAGATTTGTAAAGTTGTCAAAAAATGGCAAAGAGTGAAGGAAATGAATCTGGGTGAATGTATGTACAGCAGATGTGTAGCAAGGTTACGTGGCAGGAGGTCTGTGTTCCCAGAGTTTGAGTGACCTGTGGGCAAAGATAGAGGTGAATGTACTTCCTCCAAATGAGACGCTGAATTAGAACAAAATAGCTTAAAGTTTCCACATATGAAATGACTGGCATTAGAAAAGTTTTTTCTAACTTACTTCTCCAGTGAAAAAGAGAGTACAAGAATTCAAAGTGTTTGCACCTTTGGTACACTTTGATGTCATTTTCTTTAACAATGAGAGAAGCAGATGGAAACTCTTTAAACTCTGCTTATCTATATCGTCCACAAATACTTAGCTAGTGTCTAAAGAATATTAAGTACTATATAACATGTATTTTTCTGTTATAGACAAAAAAATAGTCAAGCTTTTTGAAAAGGGTTTTGAAAAGGGAAAAATTCCACATATGAACTGTGGAAATCATATGTTTAATGAGGAGAATATTTTAAAGATCACATTTATGTGTTTTTGTCTACAATGTTCTGGAGTGGTGTCTTACTCTTAAATATTTAAAAATCATTGTGTGAGCACTTATTATGGTGAAACATTTTTAATCAGATTAGAATCTTGCAAATATGCATCAATATACTTTGAAGTAGGAAGACTACTTTTCTCTAATAGCACTGCCTTTTAGTGTTGGTTTATGTACATCTATGAAAGTATAGGTCATTTAATTAAAGGCATCAGAATCAGTTCACTTGTGTTTTGGGTTTTTTTTAGTTGCAAATGGCACTCTTTTCTTTCAATGTACCCTCATTTGTGTCTATGTGGTTGGTTTGCTGTTTCACAGTATGAGGAGAGATGACCTGTGTAGGAGAGAACCCAGCTGCCAGAAGTACATCCTGGGGGGAGGGCAGGGAAACATGCAAAGGGAGGAGTGAGAGAAAGCAGTGAACGTGGGTGGGAGATGGACTGGGAGAAACATACAAAGACTCCTAAACAGAAACAGAACAACATGCTTGGAAGGAAAGAAACAGATTTTTCTGCCTTTAGAGGTCGTTAAGCTGTTAAGCTATAATGACAGGAATGAGATGCATTTATATCTGTGCTGCAAAAGCTGGGTCAGTCCATTGTACAAAACTGAATGCATGTTTAATTGCTTGTGCCAGAGTCTCTGACGGAGGAGTGGTGGGTTCATGACAAAAAGGAGTTATGGATAGGCAAGAGAAATTACACGGTTTCTCTTCTTTGCTTTGTGAATACCTTGTTATTCCTGAAGCTGATGTCAAAGCTTGTTCTTACTCTATTCAGTATTCAGTCTCTTCTTTTCTTTAAGCATTTCAGTGCAACCATGCATATCCTACATGTCTAATTATTAAGTTATTAATTGCACCTTTGTATTTGAAAATGTAGAAACTGTTCCAGCGATTGATTTTCCAACAGAATTTTGTTCTTGATCAATGGCTATACAATAATAAAAGAAAAAAACTTGAAGCAAGGTTATAAAATGGTTTTAGCAAGTTGTCTTTCATGTTAATTAATCTTGCTGACCCTTACTGTGTTAACAGAAGAAGTTAGCATGTGAAAACCAGGCTAACAAGCTCCCCTGTACAACTAATAACTAAAAACTGTTTAGGAGGGAGAGAAAAGGGCAGACCTAAAAAAATCCTCTCAAGAAAACCTGGCAAGGAATAGCTAGGGATAGTACCCCAGACCCCACAGGTATGGAGGAAAGGTCAGAGTATCTGTAGCTTGTAGCCTGCAGTCCTTTTAAAATTTGCAGCATGAGCTGAAGGGAAGAGCAAGGTTTGGAGTATTGAAAGATCAAGCTATTAAAGGATTAAGGAAAGGAATAGAGAATAAAACACCTTGTACTCCTCTTTCAGTGAAAATTATCTAAACCATTATGAATCATAGTTGTATGTCATTGCGGAAGGTGTCAAATACAAAGCTTAGCTTTAGTAAGTTGTTTTGAATCCTGTGGCATCTTGAGTCAGATGTAGTAGTGGTAGTTACACTTAACTGAAAGTTGGGAAAAACAAGGCAGTGTAGTTAGATAAACAAAACCCACTATGGCAGTTTGGGGTTTTGGACTTCACAGTGGACAAGTTTTAGCAATGACAAAAGCATTAAACTGCTGTAGATTTCCCTGGGGAGTTTAAGCTTCTCTCCATGTTTGTTTTATGTAATCAGCAATGATATTCTGAACCTTTTTTTTTAATTCTAATTAGTAGCCTTGTACTGAAAGAGTACTTGAAAGAGTTCTTTTAAATCACCTGTAGCTGAACAATTTTTTAGTTTCCAAGCAGGTTTATTTTCTGGAATATGAAAGATGTGAGTGGACCCTGTGGTTTTGATGTGCAGATGAACTCATTGAACTACAGAAAAGCTTCCTCAAGACTGTTTACAAATGGTACAAGTTCTTGAGAACTTAAAGAAATGATCTGATTCTTATTCCTAAAGAGAAATGCTTCAGGCAATGTAAATACTGTTTTTTTAGCATTTTTAAAATGCTTTGCCTTATATCCTAGTAGCTTAAGTACTTCTCCTGTGTATAAACCTTGACATATCACTTCTATATTGTCCATATGTTTTAACACTGGTCATTTTTAACATACCTGGGCCTTCCATCCTTATTCTTTCCTTAAGGTGCTTCCTAGCTCTTACCTCAGAATTTATAATAGATTATTTTGGTTTTAATGCTGTAAGTTTTGAACTCACAGCTATGTTCTTTGGGTTTCCTCATTTTCCATTATTCCATTTTTCAAGGTCATCTAGTGCTTATTCTTATATAATCCTGGTTCTGAGACTTGGTGTCTCCAGCTGACACACATACTAGAACAAAGGATTCTTTTGGTTTGCCTGTTTCTTTTCACTGCACTGCAGATTTTCAGAGAAGTGGGCAGGGTAACATTACTTGCAATAATAAAGATTTTTATTTTATTTTATTTTATTTTATTTTATTTTATTTTATTTTATTTTATTTTATTTTATTTTATTTTATTTTATTTTATTTTATTTTATTTTATTTTATTTTATTTTATTTTATTTTATTTTATTTTATTTTATTTTATTTTATTTTATTTTATTTCTATTTTAATTTCTATTTTATTTTCTATTTTATTTTCTATTTTATTTTCTATTTTAATTTCTTTATAATTTTAATTTCTTTTATTATTTTTTATTATTTTCTTTTTTCTATTTCTCTGAGGTTGCCATAATAAGTTTCTGAACAGTTTTGCATCTTTAATCATACTATCTAAAGTAAACAAATTTTCTCCTTTTATGTAAAGAGACAGACAATGGAGTGGCTAAGAAAGAGCTAGAAAAAAATTACTTCTATGATTACTGTTAGCCATATTAAGTAACTGAAGTATGTTGATTGTATCATTGGAATAGTAAATGTTCTTACTCTATTGTTTCAGCTAGTTAGACCACTAATGTGTTCCTTAGAATACTAAACCTTTGTAAATAGAAGAAAATTAAAAGTATTTTTGCTCATTTGCAAGGCTTTTATGTAATAGCTTTAATCTGCATTAAGTTTTTCGATTGGTTAATTGGAAACAAAAATTACATTTTGCTAATGAGATACTTATGAAAATAGATTTTATACTTATGTTTAATATTAGTTGAAAAATATTGATATCTCTGTCTTATGTGTTTCCAGGAATTTATGGAATTGTCATCATACAAATAATTTAACTCTATGGAGCAGTTAAGAATACATTGTGCTACTAGGAACAGTTTTGGGTTACTGTAGATATCTTTGTGTCTCTTCCATCTTCAGTTTCTCCAAGTACAAGCAAGAGACAAAAAAGCTGAAATTAGATTTCTATAGAGAAAAACACAGACACAGAAACACTGAGCCACTGTCAGTGCTAAATTCAAATATTTGTGTGTTTAACAGAATTCTCTTCATATTTTGATTTGGATGTTTTGTTTTCTGCTTCATTTCATAAAGTTCATTTTATTGATTAATTATTTCTAAATGTTAAAAAGCATATTTTGCCAGTCATGACAATGACACAGGAATGAGCAATGCAAAATGTGTCAGGATAAACTTTTACCTATATTTCCTGTTCTTGATGAGGGTTACCTAAAAATAAATTATTCATCTTCTCATGTTATCATCAAAAAGAAAAGCCACGTAGCAATAAATTGCTTAACATCACGCACAGCCCCCTGTCTCTTGACCAGTTTTTTATAGAAGCTATCTCCATTTGGACTAGGATAGATAGGCCAATGTACATTTTTCTGGAGATTACTGCATTTTCAGCACATGTACTTATCTTTCATTTGTGGGTTTGTGAAAATACTGCTGAGGCAAATTACATTGTAGTGCTGGCAATCAGAGGTCAGTTCATCTAACAGAAAAAAACCCCCAAGCTGTGATAAAGAGCTCTGCATGTTAAACTGCTCATTTCCATTAATGATAATGAGTGCAGATGGAATAAAATCATCCATTTTATAAAACATAAGCAAAAAACTATCAACAAGATAATAGGACCATGCATGACCTACAACCCAGCCTCGTTGTTATGGATGAATACAATCAGTGTCTTCCTCTGCCAGTTACAGCAAGGCAGTTCCAGCTGGGCAGGTTCATTACATGTTTAATGTTTAATGATGCGGCCTCCTAAAAAGCTACTGGAACCATCACAAAAATAATGCACTGCTTCCTAATACAGCATTATAATTCAGCTTCATCTTCTAATTCACCTGACTGTGCTTGTTTTTTCTCATTCAGAAAGAATAACCAGAGAAGCAGATACCCCCTTTTCCAGAGAACTGGATATTGACATTTTAGGATGCAGAAAGTCGTCTTTGCCCTAGATTTTCCCCTGATAGACCACCTCAGCTTTTCTGTGTGTGC